ATCATTTCTTTCAGTCAGAATACTTCCCCATATGCCCAAAAGTCATTTCCAAGCTGACCTCAATATACTTTAGTGAAGTAAGCATCTTCATAATTAATTAATTACAGAGCTGATATTCAACACGCCAGATAAATGTGAACGATGTCTTGATTCATTCTATTTAAGTATGTTTCCAAAATGAAATGAACTTATACTATCAAAAAGGGTGATATTAAATATATTGTCGAAAGTTTGCATGTAGCAAACAACTTGAAAAATCACTGACAATAAAATTAAGACGAACAAAATTGTTATTCATCGTAGGCTGACGTCAGTTGGAGAAACAAAGGAAACCTGGGAGCACTGGACAGTTGTCCAGTCCTGGCTGGGACTCAGCAGTACGCACTCATGACCCCGCGGCCTTCAGGTCCCGTGGCCAACACGTTACCACTGAGCTACTGGGTCGGAATCCAATGGCCCATATTTCCAACTTCTGTCAGCTCACTGCTGAGGAGTCCATACTAGGACGAAACAGCTGTCCAGAACCCCCAGGTTTCCTTTGTCCCCCAGCTGGTGTCAGTCTACGATGAAAAACAACTTGAAATACTTCCAAATCCCCACAACTCCCTAAAAATTCATTTGAACAAAATTGTGTCAATAATCAGTTATCTTCAATTTTCATTACAATGTTCTATTCTCTGTTCAATAAAGTCAACATAAATGATTTATATTACCCAGAACAACAGAAAAAGAACACCTAACAGCTGAATCTTTTATTGAATAAGACAGAAGTAAACATATGTCAGGTTATCAATTATTTACAATAATGACTGATCATTTCAAGGTTGAAATTACTTTTCAAAAGGGAAGTTTGTATAGCAGGCAAATTAGTCATTTTACCTAGTTAAACTGCAAAATTATCACAAATAACCCGAAAACCAAGATATAATTCACAGAGTTATATATTTCAAGCCTAGTTCAACATTATGCATAGAAGTTAATTATCGTATATTATGAGGTGATTTTGTTGTTGTCAACTTTCATATGAAGCTTTATGTCTCTGTGATATCATTTTCATTTTATTATTACAACATTCGAAGTGAGTTGAAGATGAATAATTCACAGTAATTTTCAATCTAGTCATCGAAAGTCGTAAACAAATATCATCCATAGAATAAACAGCTCAATAGGAAGAAATACATTTCAACTAGTTTGTCTTCAAAGTTCCATTATGTTACACGGTTTCAAATTGAAAGTAAGAAAACACCGTTTGTGCACATCTTAACATTTAATTACTGTAACTTACTGCAGTACAATTAGAAGATTTGGATTTTGCCGATGATTTATGTCTAATGTCGCACAAATTTGAAGATCTATAGGCGAAAACTAACAAGTTGATGGAAGAGGTGAGGCAGCGAAAAAGGGACTTCAAGTGAATATAGAGAAGACAGAAGTGATGAAGATACCCAGCCAAAAACAAGCACTAATCATCATCAACGGAAGAAACTTAAAGGAAGTAACCTCCTTCACCTATCTAAGCAGCACTGTTTCAACTACAGGCGGCACAGACGAGGATGTCAAAGTCAGAATCGGAAAAGCAAGACAAGTTTTCATGAATCCGAAATCAGTGTGAGATCTACTGCACTCAGCATGTGGAACAACATCCGGATTTTCAACACCAACGTCAAGTCAGTGCTGATATATGGTTCAGAAACTTGGCGCGTCACGAAAAGCATTTCCAACAAACTAAAGACATTCATCAACGGCTGCCGCCTACGCTAGCTCACTCGATACTGAAGATCAGATGAGAAAGCCAGAAAGAATAAGCAAGAAGGAAGTCTGGCTGACTGGCAACGAACCAACCAAGAACCTATCACCCAACAGATATGCAGAAGGAAGTGGAGATGGATTGTATTGGGCATACACTGAGAAGAACGACTGGGGACATCACGCACCAGGCACTCGAGTGGAATCCCCAGGGGAAGCGACGAGTTGGACGTCCGAGGGTGACATGGAGGAGATCGTGCGAGGAGGAAATGAGAGCTTCTGGGCTGTCGTGGAGCCAGGTTCAAAAGATTTCAGAGAACAGAGTTCACTGGAAACGTGCTACTGGAGCCCGATGTTCCATTAGGAACCCAAGGGACTAATAATAATAATAATAATAATAATAAATGGATTTATGAAACTAAAGAAGAATTTGGTCATTCACTAAACATTAATATTTTGTTGTATTTCAAAGCGTTTTATATAACTGTTGAGAAAAGGAAAGTCAATTGGATAATGTATCCTGCAGCATTTAGTTGGTTGAGTTGAAGATTGTTATTTTGTCATCATGTATACAATATAACACCTACAGTTTCCATACAATAGATCACAGAAGACTTGCTAATGAATAAATTGAAGTCAGAGTTGGATGTACACAATTAGTTTTCGAAGATACTTTCGTTACCAGCACCAAATGAACTTGATTCATTGATTGTAGTTATCGAATACTCTTTGACACCAGTTACCTTTAATTCAAAAATAATTCCCAGGTCTTATTAGGGTCCTTATCTAATGACTAAGAAATGTAATGCATTGGCTAAAGCAGGCAACTATAAGATTTCACCTCACTTCAATAAGCATAAACTGCCTTTGGATGCTTCTGTAGGGAAACAGTAGTCTTAGTGCATTGGTTAAAGGGTTTAAAGAAGGCAAAATATTAGATGAACTTCAGGTTTGTTAATTTGTGTATAGTCATCATCCTTTAATCCCTTCTGCTTTTGCTGACATTTAATCTGTCGTCAGTTTTTTTGTAAACTTACTTTATGCTACTTGTAAGTAGCCCAAAGTTATCTTCATTATTTTCATCTAGATTTTAGGCACTAAAGTCTTTTTCATACATGGAGTATGGTTTTAATAACAACTAATCTGAAAACTTTTTTAGATACAGTCGTACGATGGAATACAGTCACCTGCTGCACAGTATACTCTTTCCTTGATAGATATTCAGATATCTCGCCGGTACCAGAAGAGATGTAAGTTGGAGAATGGAGAACGAGTCTTGTATAGTGGAGGTGAGATTTCACCAACAAGCAAGCCGTTCATGTTGACGCACCTCGTCAAATGTTTATTATTGGGTTGATAAGTAATATTCATTTATATCGTTTAGGATTTCATCCATTGTATGTTGGAAACAGTTTTATTTTGCCAAGTGTGTGATCAGTTTTATAATCGTCAATCAGTTTGTATTTCGGGTTTTTTCTAACTGACTTCAGTTCAACCATTCAGTAATCTCAGCTTTGTTATTTAGAAATGTTAAGGTGTGCAATAAGATTGGCACGATCTTTATAAAAAGTTCTAAATTCCTGAAGCTGTTCACAACCAATCGTGTTGTATCTAGGTTTCAAAAGAAAGCACGTTAAGTAACGTGTAAATACTAGGTTGATTGAACAGGTAAAAATCACTAGGACATACGATTCTAAATGTTATCAGCAAAAGCAGAAGGATTGAAGGATTATGACTATACAAAAATTACCAAACCTAAAGTTCATTTAACATTTTACGTTTCCTAAACCTTAGAAATAAATCACTCGTGTACCAATTTTTATGTCTCAGTGGGAAAATGCCAAGTATTTTGAAGTGAAATAAAAATTTGGTCAGCAGCGGACCTCGCAGCTCAGTTGTTAGAGCACTGGGCCGGTAACCCGGTGGTTTGAATCCGGCCGCGGTCCAAATTTTCAGTTCACTTTCAATCATCACCCAGTATTTTGTTATACCTTGAGTTTGGACTAGACAGAGACAGCAATCTAAGAAAACTAATAATTTCTATTCTTAAGATTTCTGTAGCGGATCCCAGTGCTACATTTTATCTTCTAAGATGGACTTCGACAATAACCCGGCCAAGTGGGTTTATATGTGTACATAAACATACATACGTGAATATCGACAGAGACCTTGGTTATTTCTAGACTTTTCTCTACTGACTTCGTTCTATCAAATAATTTCATTTTATGAGCTATGACAGCGCATCTTATCTCCGAAATTCGGAGTGCTTTTATTGGTCGTGAGGTTTTCAAACTTCTTTGACCTGTCAGGGCAGTAGTACTACAAATTAACGCAAGGTCAGTGAATGTGCGAAATTTTCTACCGTTCATATAAGCTAAAATAAAAATCCCGGAACAGAACAGGTTTTTACATCAAAAATCAATTATTCTCTTTACGACTGAATGGCATTTATTGATTTTTACTTAGAATCACCTATTTAGAGCTATAATATATGATTTTAGTGCAAGTGTCACAAGTAAAAGGTAGATGATAACCGTTCATATTGATCTCCAGATTACCTAGCCAAATCACAGCGAAAACACCGTAGTCCCACTGTGTCAGTAATGTACTTATTTTCATTCGGCTCTCTCAGAAAATTTTTACGTTATAGCTAGCGAAGTTTCAAGTTCAAAATTAACTTAGTGAGTTAAAATTTTGTTCCTGGGATCAATAGGAAACATTCATAGCATTAGTAGAAACTTTGATTCAACTAAATTCTTATTTTAATGTCATCACTTATAGTTCCCCACCGTTGATTGGACTGATTTGATACCCCACAACAAGCATATGGGCTTCAGCACGGATGCCTCAAAATCGACAGTAATTTGGTCATAATTTTTGTTGTTTTAAAGCTGCAACACATGCTCAATGTCTAAGATTTATGAACCCAGTATATACCTTTTCTCTAACGCAAACAACTCTGAAACAACCTGACTTATATATTTGCAAATCGTGCACTCAGTTTTATCTATCTAAATACCACCAGTCTACATATCTTCAGAATGTGAATAGAATAAAACAATTAAGTAAGCATTATATACGCTGGAGAGAATAAACAATGTTGTGAATTTCGAGAAGCTAGTCTGATTTACCACAGGATTATGTTTACGGAGATAAATACTCATAACTTAAGGAAAAGTTGAATGTCTATAGATGTGAAGACTGTTCACCTAGTCTACACTAACTCTAATCTTCCTAAGGAAAGAAATGAGCAACAACGACTGAGCCAGTCTTACCATAAGATGAATTCTGATAAAAGGCTAGTTAAAAACAAGAAAAAGACTAATGAGAAGATAACTGTTGTCAAGGAGAAGGCAGTTTATTTCTGAATATGCAGATCATAAATATATACTCAAATCCTGTTGTATTTAATGCCCTCCACGATGAAGCTTATGCAGTTGGAAAGACACTCAATGAAGTATTACCTTCACACGATGTAATTACGAAAGGTAATGCTCATCAAAATATCAGATAGAAATATACATTCTAGGGAAATTCGATTCAAAAACAGAAACGGTGAAGTGGAGAAAACGCTTGAAATGACAACACTGCACTTGTAAAAGTTAGTAATGCATAAAATGTAAAATAAAGTTATGTTCGATCTCACCACAGTAATGTAGAAAGATCAGAAAACAAATCATGTGTAGTGAGAGCCACTCATAAGAATGCAGTATATTTATAACAAAGTTGAAAGTGGTAGCGGTCAACTGACGAGAATCCACGTAAAAGGAATAGACAATATTAAATAGAAATATAAAGAGCAAGCACATCACAGAATGAGGAGCAGAACAAAAGATTGTTTGTAAACGGAAGCCATAATGTAATGTTTAGTATTTTTACCATCATCGGTTATATCTTCTCAATAAACAATATATACTGCTCTGTTGGACTTCTCTTCATTGGTGTCGCTTAGATAAAGATACTTTGGCCTGCAGCAGTCGAGAATTTCAAATGAGGTGGGAAGTTGGTGGGAGCCAAGAAACTAGAGCGGAAGCGGTTTGTGTTAAGAACCTCTCCAAAAACTGGGCAAAGGTGGTCTATGAAGTGGCATACGATTAGATGAAGGATATCAAGGGAGGTGACGTGCTGAAGATTCTGCGGGCTTCGCTTGTGGTGGAGTTTCACGTTCATTCGGATAGGATACAGCGTATACATGAGTTCACACGTGCGAGGTTGGGTGCAGATGAAGACCCACTAGTGCTAGTGATGAAACCCATGAGTTCTATTCATAGAGCACTACTTAACATCGATGAGGATTCAGTAGCACAGTTTGTGGAATGTTAACTGCCACTGCACATCAGCTGAAACTTGTAAATGCAGCCAGCCAATAAACACTGGTGTTAAGATACATTTCCTGTTAGCTGATGGGCACAACAGCAGTGGCCGTAGAAAGGCATGAGGCAAACTCTTTGAAGAAAGAAATTGAAAATCTTCAACAGCAGATAGCATCTCTGTACACAAACATCAACAGAAAAGATGCACACTTTCTTTGCAGAAAGACACGACACTGGCAGAACTGCCTAGAGTTGTGGAAATGCAAGAATTATAGAAGGCACAATGTATATTTTTGCTTACCGTTAAGACCAGAGGTCACTGGTCACTAGATAAACGGGCAATGTATATCGGAATGCGAGTAAGTGATGGAAAACTGATCTGTCTAGTCGATATAGGGGTAGTAGTTTCATTGATAGGGCAACAGCAAGGCTACGGTGTAAGGCCATATGCAGTGTCAATTAATATAGTAGGCGGACATGCATTCGAAGTTGCGGTTGTGCTGTTGAAATAGGAAACCATAAAATTCATCACTACTTTGTATTAACCCCTGCGTACAGCGAACTATACTGGGGACAGATTTCATGAGGGGTCGGAGCAGTCATTGACACGAAAAGTGGAAAGGTGACTACAGAATACGGGTGATTTGTCATATGCAAAAATGCCGAAGTAGCAGGAATAGAGGTAGCGGAAGCACCTCATAAAGAAGCAGCTGCCACTAATAAGTTGACTATTAGTGAGTAGAAGAGTTTATTCACCAGAGATTGAGAACGATATGGATATTATGACAGGGCAGTACACAAAATGCAGCCAAAAAATCAAGGATGGAAGGCATTTTCAGCCCATTGTGTGCTTCACCTCCTAAAAGAAGAAGTAGCAAGACAAGTTTATGAGATATCAAAGGATAATATGGTAGAAGAAACCAACAGACCGAACAGTTTACCTTTACTCATCGTGACGAAGGATAACGAGAAATAGTTTCTGTATAGATTCTATAAAGTAAAACAGAGTTATCAATTTGAAACGCCAACGGTGACCAAGACATTAAATTGCCTGAAGAAAGTCACACTGTTCATAGTATTAGATTTGAGATAGAGCTACTGGCAATTACAGTTAAAGGCTGACAGAGAGAAAACAGCTTTCATTGTGAAGCAGAAACAATACCATTTTACACAAATGACGTCTGATCTCACAGGGTCACGCTTCACGTTTAGACAATTGATGACGTTACTACTTAAAAATTCGAAAAAAGCAAAAGTGTACTATATAACCTTGTGGTGCATAGCCTATCCAAGAAAGACCACTAAGAAGCTTCTCTAAAGCGTACTTTAGAGTTTATACGGCATATTCACATGGCGAAGAGATGGCGAAATAAAGCCACTAATTGAAAACATGTTGACCATCAAGAACACTGAGACTCCGAACTGGAGAACCAAGCCGAGACAGCCCGTGAAGAGAGCAGCATTCTACAGTCAGTTCATTGAAAACTTCAATGAGATAGCGGCTACACTGAATAAACTGTTAGGAAACCAGAAAATTGCATGAATGAAGGAGGACATATAACGCACAGCAGTGTCTCTCAGTGAAAGCAGTGCCGGATAAGTATATCACTCCATAGAGGACTCGATACTGATACTTATTAGAAGTCATACTTTCGTACTCTTACTTAAATGAGGTTGATTTGATCATACAAGAATTCTTAGTAGACTTACAGCTTGCACATGACATAATCCTGTTAGGTGAAGACTCTGACAAGATCCAGAGTCTTCTGGATATCTTAAGTGCAATTTGAGAATGTTTTGGATGAGTTTCTTGCCACCCAAATGAAAATTGTTGCTACAGAACTAGTCTTCAGTACTGCCTTGTCTAACAATAGGAAGAGAAATGGTTGAGCATACCAATCACTTTACTGACTCAGGAAGTCGAATTAGCCGTTCGAGGGTCGATAAACGACAAAATCTCTTCATGGATACAAAAGGCTCACCTCGTTTTCACCCATTTACGCCATTCATTGTGCCGCCATGATTTCCGATTGCTCATTAAGGGTCGCGTTTACTGCACTACAGTTCACTCTCTTCTACGACGTAGCGGAGAAGCATGCCCAGTAAAAGTAGAGGAGATAAGGCTTCGGATGCTTGACCAATATTGCCTTCGTGGTATAGATTGTGTCATGGTGTCACTATGTTGATAACGTAAAGTCAAGTGGGAAGTTCTAGGGAGAAGAGGTTGATGAGGTTGTGGACCTTTGTCAACTCAGGGGCTGAGACACGTACTGCGTATACGTAGTCACTATCTGTCATTTTGCACAATGTAGCTGAAGCAGTTTTAGGCTAGAAAGGATCAGCGTCTGCCAGACTAAAACATGGCGTCAGTTCATGCATTCCTTGACTGTTGGTCTGAGTCCCGTAGACTTCCCGGTTGAAAGGCAGACAGAATCAACGCAGAACCTCACACATAAGTGCATCGGTTGAAGTTGCTACACTACACATTGTTGAGCTGCGAGCCATTGAATAAGGGAAATAACTTTCAACCACAGGGACACGGGTGTGAGCCCTGCTCCACTTACCGAGGTGTGGGCTGTTGGTTATCATCAACAGCTCTCATATAATAGATTTGACGAATTGACTACTGCACCAATATACAAATGGCGTCGGCGTGCATCTCGTCACCAACACAAGGCAGTAGTACAAAAAGAACAAAGGTAAAAATGTGATATTTAGTAGATGAAGTTGTGTGAAATAGTGAGAAAACTGAAGATAAAAGTTAGTGCGAATATCCAAGCTTTAGAAGATGTCAAAGAATGAATACATCTGCGTCATTGTGACTGATTTTCAGCCATGTCAACAAGAGTCCTCAACCACTGATTCCTTTCGTCTTGAGGACCCTAACCATGCAGCATACATTTACCAACACCACTCAGACCAATAGTCAGGAACTGGTACCACATCTTGGTCTGATCACCCTAAACTCCTACCCAACTTCCCCTAGCATGGCACGTCAAGGTAGGTGGTGGCTGTGCATGCACAGTACATGTCCAAGCCATCTCAGTCGACTGAGGTTCACAACCTCATAGTTCGACTTGTCTGTCTTGCCTAGTACCGTTCGTCTAACCTCAAAATTGATCACACGCTGATTCTGCCAAATGCGAGCAATGCTACAAAGACATGTGATCAAAACCCAGTAATCTCTTCATATCTCCTACTTTTAACGGCCACGTCTCACAGCAGGACAGGATGGACTGCAGCGTAGTATACTTGTCCTTTGAGAGATAGTCAGATATTTCGCCGGCAATACAGATGACGTGAGTTGGCAAATGCTAAACTTGCCTTCTGTATCCCAGCTGAGATTTCGTCAGCAACCAACCCGTTCGGGATAATGCAACTCCCCAAGTAAATGAAGCGGTAGACACATTCCACCACTTCACTCCCGATCATTAAAGTGGGAGTAGTTGCAGACCCGTCCTGGAGCATCATCTTACATTTGACAAGTGTCAGCGAGATGCATGCCAAACGTACTCAGATCTCTGCTCAACGCATCCAGAAGACCCCGTTTGGACTTTGTCAGCGCCTTCACCCAGCAGAACAATATCGTCTGCATACTCCAAACCAACCAGACGGCCTCCGGGGAGTAGTATATCTTTGAAGTGAAAAGTACCTACGTTTATGTCCATTAGTACGTCTATAACGAAGTTAAATATTAACGGCGACAGTGGAAATCCCTGGAGGACACCACTAGTTGTCGTCAATTCACATGAAAACTCTCCATATGCTCTTATATGGCTGCATGAATCCAAGTAGACAGCAATGATTAGCGCTACGCACTTGCTCAGTACTCTCTTCACAGTTAGACACCGCCACAATACCTCACGGTCCTTAGAGTCGGAAACCATATTCAGGTCAAGAAATATAGCATGGCGGTAAGTATGCCTATGTCCTAGAACCTATGGGAGGGGAAAATTTTGACCGATACGCCCTCGTCCAGGTTTGAAGAATGCCTGGTTGTCTCAAGCCCCGGTGAGGTGTCAGAAAACTATGGATCCTACGATCTTGGACACATCATTAGTCAAACTACTTCCCCTATGGTTGTCATTGGGAGATTTCTCTCGCTTTTTAAGGACTGTCATGAACAAAGAAGCAGACCAGTCTGACGGCACTACCTCTAATTCCTATACAATACCTAGTGCCTCCGTCACTTTAAGTAGCAATTTCTTACCTTCATCCCTGGAAACTTCGGGTGGCAACCTGTCAGTTTCTGTTGCTTTTCGTCATTTCAGGTTTGATGCAGCTTTCTCAACTACGGACACAGTTGGATGACTAACATCTACGACCCATTCAGGTTCAGGCCGTATGTTGGGCAGCTGAAGCATTTCTGTGCTTCAGCCCTAAGTTCTAGCCGACTGTCCTGGGGGGGGGGGGGGGTTGTCAGCGTCCAATCCACCAATCGTCGTCTTCTCTTTGCTGGTATCTTAATAAGCTTAAATAATTGCCAGATATTACATAATGCTGATCTCTAGTCTATCTCTCTTGTTTTCGCCACCCACCACTCCTCACGGTCATTACAAAGACTCTTGGTCAACTCACGTTCAAGTTGTTTTCGCTCTTCATCGGCGTGTGATCAATTTTGAGGTTAGACGAACGGTACTAGGCAAGACAGACAAGTCGAACTATGAGGTTGTGAACCTCAGTCGACTGAGATGGCTTGGACATGTACTGTGCATGCACAGCCACCACCTACCTTGACGTGCCATGCTAGGGGAAGTTGGGTAGGAGTTTAGGGTGATCAGACCAAGATGTGGTACCAGTTCCTGACTATTGGTCTGAGTGGTGTTGGTAAATGTATGCTGCATGGTTAGGGTCCTCAAGACGAAAGGAATCAGTGGTTGAGGACTCTTGTTGACATGGCTGAAAATCAGTCACAATGACGCAGATGTATTCATTCTTTGACATCTTCTAAAGCTTGGATATTTACACTAGTGTTCATCATCAGATTGTTTCTTTTCTCGCAGAACTTTATCTACTTTGATATCATCCTTTTTTTAACCACCTTTTTTATGTACACTAAGTGAAGTGTAGCGACTTGAGGCGAAGTACCTATTTGAGGGGTTCTACTTTGGTTTTTTCAGTCAACTAGTCCTATCAAGTAAAGTTGCTGTTCAGTGAAGTGCTTACTTGTCTATATAAAGGATGAAACGTCATTACCAATTACACCAATATCAAACTGATGGTTATAAGCTGAATAACTGTTTTCTTATTTCCAATATTTTGCTGCAACTCAACTGTTCAGATACTTGTAACCATCAGGTTGTGATATTGGATTCTGACCCATTTAACTGATAATGTCATTATGCTTTAGGAGAGATTTGAAGCAACCTGTGGATATATAGGTCAGTAAGTTCCTCTTTTTTATTGTCTACTTGTTTCAAACTAGAGCTTCAAAATGAAAAGTATGTTATGGTGTTCGGAGACAGAAGTTGCAGTTTTTCGCTTTGTTCGTGTTACTCAAATGATAAGCGATTCACTTTTAACTATTATTGGAAGAGTTTTAGAAGCTTTCGTAAAAGGTTGAACCAGTGTAGATGAAGTGTTCGTAATGTGCCTTTGTTGCTCTAAAGTGTGGTCATGTTTCAAACAACTGAGTGTTATATCGATCGAAAGTGGAAAAAATGAATCTTACATAAGTAATATCAGTCGCACTATTTTAACCTTAAAACTCACTCTACTTATATGGTAACGTCATTGTTTAACTCAAGTGAAGAGCTTTAGACCGACTCCTGATTTATTTCTGTATGAATTATAGTTCAGAAATGATTGCATTTTGGCTGATATCAATTACTGCGTAATATCTCATTTTCTGTGCATGAAATTGGTCATTTCACTTTTATGATGGTGTGGTTACGTAATTTCGCTGTAAATATGCAGATTGCCATAAGTGACGGACAATAAGTACCAGACTTCGTGTTACTGAACTGGTCTCAATCACTGGTTATCCCGGTTCATCAAGTAAGGCGAGAAGTCCTCTTATGATAACAGAGGAATCAGCCTGACCAACATAGTGTCTAAGATTCTAGAATTATCAGACGCCTGAGTAGAGCTCAGAAACAGTAAGTCCGATAAAACCAGGCAGGCTTAAGACCTAGCCGTCGGTGTATCGACCAAATGTTTACACTCCATCAGGTTCTCGAACACAGACATGCTTACCGAAGGCCAATACTAGGTGTGTTTCTCGACCTGAAGGCGACATTCGACTCCGTCGATTGAGAAGTCTTATGGCAATGTCTCACTGAAAAGGATGACGAGTAAGTCCATCATGTTGAAGACTTTTTACTCGAACACCCGTGGGCATGTCAGGGCCTATGGTGAGATGTCGGTGAGCTGTGTACACCGAGTGGTGTCCATCAAGGATGCCCATTCTCTTCATTCTTATTTAATTACATTACAAACTTTCTTATGGAGGTCTCCTTCCCATCATCTGACCACACAGGGATTGACCTAACCACAAAAGACCTAGAATAAGCAGATAACATGATCCTGTTAAATAAAGATGCAGAGTCTTTTGGACAGTTTGAGTGGCGATTTGAGATTGTTTGGGATGCGTTTCTCGCCACCCAAATGCAAATTGTTGCTCCAGAATTGGTCTTCACTGGTACCCCGCATAACAATAGAGAATGAAGTGGTTGAATGCGTTGAACACTTCACTTACCTGGGAAGTCGGGTCAGTCGTGGCGCATTGGTCATCAACAGACGAAATCTCTGCACGGATATAAAAGGCTCGGCCAACTTTTGCCATCTGTGGTGCCACCGCGATATCCGCTTGTCTATTAAGGGTCGGATGTACCGTCCTGCAGTCCGCTCTGTTCTACTGTATGGCTATTAAACGGCCATTAAAAGTAGATGTGAAGAGGCTTTAGGTGTTTGACCACCGTTGCCTTCGTAGCATAGGCCATATTTCGTGGTGGCACCACATGAGCAACGTAGAAGTCAGGCGCAAAGTTTTACGGAAGAGACGCGAGTCAGTTGGTGTGGTCGTGAACCTCCATTGACTGTGATGGCTGGCACATGTGTTACGTATGCTTAGCTACCGTTTACCTCGCCGCACGTTGGGCGAAGTAAGTTCAGGCTGGAAAAAGACTCAGAGGTGTCAGACAAACATAGCATCAATGTATGAAGTCCTTGACTGTTCGTTTAAGGCATGTGGGGCGATGCTGACTAGTCGGTTGTGGTCTGCAAGACAATGGAAAAACCAGTGGTTGGAGACTCTAGGTGATATGGCTCAGAAGCGACATCAGTAGCATACATACATACATACATTATCTTCGTCTTGACCTCTATATTTAACCTAACCATTTTCTCATTCCTCTCTTTTACTACTTTCTTCTACTTCTTTTGATCGACTTTTCTTTCTCTCTTCACCTTTTATTTCACTATCTTGCTACACGATGTGCTGATATGAGGTATGGCAACTTGGGCCGTTACGCAGTAATGCCTGGTCCTATGTTGATTTTGATTGAATAATTTTTCTATTGTACACGGTTGAGAGAAACACATTGAGTGATTCATCATTTTGGTGAATTGGGTATACGAGACGTGGCAAGTATATGGAAGACTAATTCACGTGCGAGATCAGCGTTAAGATTGAATTGACAGAATCATGTGGACCAGACAATTATCACTGGACAAAGTTATAAAGCTAAGAAACAGGGATACTGGGAAAACTGTTTGGAGTCACCATCCTTTAGCTATCGGTATCTACAGGACTATCCATGAAATAGAAATCGCCGACTACGCAATGCAAAGCAGTTGATTCTTTCTAGGTGAGAATGGCGAACAAATGTCAGGTTGTGGACTTATACTGAATGAGATAGCTAGATTTCACAGCAACTAACAACCAAAAATGGGCGTTTACCAGTTAAGTAAGATGAGATTATGAACCAATAATTTGATTCATGTAAACTATTTGCTTAGTTTGAGTGGGTGAAAGCTTTGGAGAACGTATTATTGATGAAATAATTGTGATCTAATCCAATGTATTCATATACTGGGTTATGAGCTACACATTGTATAAGGAAGCATGATACCACAAAGGTCGTGGCTAGATTTCAGCGCAGAACTCATTGATTGCTAAAGCCAGGATGGAACTAATACTCATTTCCGTAAATGAAGCACGTCAGCTTTCATTAACAAATAATTTGAAAGAGACACTTAAGGAGTAAACTCATGAATTCTTTAGTTCCACCAATGTTTCAGTTTACTGCAAAATGTCTTCGATTTGGACTGTGCTCGAAGTTCACTGAGTATCTAAATATTCCAATAAGCTACAGAAACTACTTATACGGCCTACATATTCCAGAATTGAGTCGGTGTAGGATAGTTAACTATAACAAGAAGTTCGAATCGGTGCGACTTTTGACTTACTTCATGTAGAAATTTAACTGTTAGTAATCATTTCATAAACAACTCATAACACATCAGAGTAATCTGTAAACAGAAATTTCACAGCTGCATTTTAATGCAATAAAAGTGTACGAATTCAAGTGAGCTAAGTGCATATGATGGGTATAGAAATGCAACTTCTTAAGTGTAGAGCCGGTCAAGATAATATGGTCCCCTGAACAGGTATGAAAACAGGTTATCGTTTAAAAATTTATTGACCAAACTTTCATTAGGTGTTTTTGCCTTTTGTTTCCTTGAAAGGAATATCTGTAGGACCATACTAAAAAATTATATGATCTAGATCAACAGCCATACCTTATCCCACAATGTCTTCAGATCTCTTTTCATAGCGTAAGCGTCTTCACCATCTGCATAGTATTTAGGTTCGATATCTGACACTCTGAAAAGATTAATAATAAGCCGAACGACTTACACGAACTGTAGCGTCTTTGTGTACAGCGTAAGTGCAGCTCTGTTACTTTTCCGAACATGTAATGAGACATATCTGGCATGAAAGTTTTCCACCATAGCTCTTGAGGCCAGATTCATAAGGGTTTGAGCAATACCCAGTCGTCTATAGGGTCTTTTAACAGCCAAAGAAGTTATATGTCCATATGGAACATCCTCTGGATCTTCCTCCCTAGCGAGTAAACATATGATAGAACGACTTACATTTTAGCCAGAACATAACCTACAATCTCTCCGTTGTCAGTTTCTGCAACATAAGATAACTGTGGCCAAGATAGTCCATGGTAGAAGTAGTACTTCATTTGGTAGTTTTCAGGTAAGCAGTCCAGATTGCAGTCCCTCATATTCAATAAATCATTAGGCTGGTAACTGGTAAGACAGTAAAATTACACAGTACCCTGGCGTTTCTCACGTTCATCCTGGTGATAAAAAGTTGGAATAACGAGCAGTATGCGTGTGACAACCAGCTATAAGTAGGTTACCGTCTTGCTTGTAGGTACCAACAGAGTACTTACTTTGCTGTAGAGAATGAAAAGGATAGTGCAAGTTTTACAGTGCCACGGCAATCTGGAAGCGGAAAGAAGAGAAAAACGTGGGCTAGAGACACAGCAATCATAAATAATGTAGTCATGCATCCAACAACATCCAAAATCAATAGTGCGAGTAGAGGGAACTTGTAGATTTTGAGTTCTCGCTTCTAGGTCTTGAGGCTCGGTATAACGAAAAACGAGATTTATTTATTATATATAGCTGATAAACAGTAACCATTCACAACAGAAACATAAAGAACCTGAAAATAGGGACTAAATAGCGGATCAGTAAAGCATTAAAATTATTTCCTAGCGATAAGCATAACAGGCCAGTTACCCGCTGCTAATCCTTGCAGTGACCTACAAACCAAAGTTCGCTGTACACTTTCAACATCCAACATCGATTGAATGAGCTTAGTAAACTGATAGCTTTCGATCTCTCCCTTATAGTTCTTGTAGCTTGGTTTCTGCTGTTCGGTTTGCTCCAGCAGGGTTAATGTGACTTATTCTGCTTTCCTGCTTTCAGCTTCGGTGAAATGAATATATTGTAGCTCCACACACTTCCCCAAAATCAATAGCCTAGGGCTCGGCAACATTCAGCATCGATGCTGACTTTGATAGTTTGGCTGGATTCGCTAAGCTGAAGGCACCCGGTCAAGCATCCTCGCCATTTGGCACGCTGTCGTGTTATGTTGCACTGCTTGTAATCGAGTCTCTAGCCAGTCGGTTGGAAGGTATCAGTATCTTGGCACAACCATCCAAGTATACTATTCCATCCGACTACGCTATCGTCTTCTTCCTTGGTCTCGTACTCGTGAGTATGTAACAAGTCCGAATAATTAGTGGTTGGCCTCTGCGTCTTTCAAGTTCGTTCCAGGATAAATCCTAAATTGGTGAACCCGACGCAATCACATTTTAGGATTTATCCTGGAACGAACTTGAAAGACGCAGAGGCCAACCACTAATTATTCGGACTTGTTACATACTCACGAGTACGAGACCAAGGAAGAAGACGATAGCGTAGTCGGATGGAATAGTATACTTGGATGGTTGTGCCAAGATACTGATACCTTCCAACCGACTGGCTAGAGACTCGATTACAAGCAGTGCAACATAACACGACAGCGTGCCAAATGGCGGGATGCTTGACCGGGTGCCTTCAGCTTAGCGAATCCAGCCAAACTATCAAAGTCAGCATCGATGCTGAATGTTGCCGAGCCCTAGGCTATTGATTTTGGGGGAGTGTGTGACGCCACAGATCACCCCCGCCCTAGTGGGTTCGTGAGGACCCTAAGACGGTACCAGCCGGAAATAAAAACCCAGTAGTTTCTACACTGGTAAAGCTCTTCCGATGGGCTCACTGTGTGAAGTGGCCCCTGGTTGTCTGGGCTTATTCTAGGGTGTCGTGGCAAGTGAAAAATAAAATACAATAGGTCGAGCTGTACGTCGATCGCGGTCCTCAGTTTCCTTTGACGTTCCGTCTAGTGGTCGTCGCACCTAGAATATAAATGAAAGTCTTTGATACCATGAAGACGCTTCGTAAAAATAAGAAATATGTACATACAAATATGTCGAAAATAAAGTTTACGCCTATTTTAACTGTTTTTTAAAAAAAATGCTTCATTACGTGGTAGTAGTAAAAAAATGACATAAAAAGGCAAAATGTACTGGGCGTTTCACATTGCCGATAAATAAGAAAAATGATACCTCGGAAAAAAGTTGTAAGTAAAAAAATACGGTTGGCACATCTCAGTTCACACCACCAAGTTGAGTACGACGTTAAATACCGGAGAACCTGACGGTTAGACCTGACCGGGGTGTTACTTAAAGCTATCCCCTGACTTGTTGTGGGTTATCGCGCGGATTTGGGAAAATGCGTGTTTTCTGTTTTCTGTTGGTATTTCTTACCTTTTTCTAAGCTATGAAACGCAGTTAATCATTTCGTCCTCCCTCTTACGGTCTATTTGCCGGACTACAGCTTGCTGTGCTATACGTCTTCATTTGAGAAATTGCAACTGACGTTTTATTTTATTTGTGAAGGAAGACGGTCAAAAATGGAAGGATGTAATTGGGCCTTCAAGTCATTATGACGAAGAATTTAGATTGTAATGTTGACCTGAAGTCAACCTGTCGATCGTAGTGAATGAAGTCTAGAAGGAAATCAAAGAACAGCTGTTCTTTCGGCTAAATAAATAGAATGAATAAGATAAATTGGTAAATGAAGGGAAAATTTTGGCTAGAATGATGATATTGTTTCTGGAGGGCATCAAAAGAGGAGTAAAGGGTAAAGGTATATTTTCAGGCCACAATTAGGAATTAAAGTTGACACTTAAGGGGAAATGATGCGGAGATCAGGTGTAAAATCCGGAAAGTAAATATATATGTTTTCTTTTTCTGCTTTTCACCCCTTGAACGCATTAGGGTTTAAGTTGAAAGCTACTTAAGGTAGGAAAAGCAGACAAAAAAGAGAAAGTTTGTAATAGGGGAAAATCGGTTTCTTTTCCCCAAGCATGTCGCTTTATTTTACTACTGAGCTTCCCCCTGTCATCTATTTATTTCCCCCTTTTTGGCCTGTATGATATTGGATATTTTTCTGTTTTAAAGCGGGTTGGCTCGTGCAAGACAGATGAAAACTGCTTTACCAGGTGAGTAGGGAGACGAACTACATCGAAGATCATGGAATGTCCGCAAGACGTAAAAGCTGGCACAAGAAAATCAGTTGGTTTCACAAGCTTGAAAAGAAGTCGAGTGTTGTAAAGTGAACGTGAAGTACGCTCCCTTTTATTCTTCAGATTAATACATGAAGTTATACTTAGCAGCAGACGGTTCGTTGCTGGTGTATGTCTGGTTAAATGGAGGCAGGTGGATGCAGTCAATGAACTTCTGCTTTTGAAACTCCTTTCAGAAGGAAGTTATGCTGAAACTGTACTTTTGAATGAATTTACGCTAAATATATGCGCATGTTTATTACTTTCTCCTCCTGTGTTATAATAGGTAGGGAATTTTCTGTCAACGATGGAAACCTAGGGAACTGAAGCCCGAGTAAGTCTTCGGGAAGTGATGGGGTCCACACAAGAGTGCTCTATTATCAAGCCTATTCAGATGCTCGTTTCCGGTATGCAGGTTACGCTGTGATTGTAAACGGGTGGATGTCGTTCCGATATATAAAGGTTGAAACGAACTTTTTTCCTCTAGATACAGACGAATCTGCCTGATATCTTCAGCGGTGTAGATCATGGAGAGAGTAGCAAAGGATTTACCTCTTGGTTACTTATTTGGGAACTAAGTCTTAAAGTGCCGCCAACATGCTCGGCAAGTCTTTTAGCTTCTAACGGCCGGAATCTTCCTGTTCATCGGAGGACGCCCACTCACACTATTTTACTTGCCTCAAAGCTCCCATTGTTGTTCCAATACTGTTTCCTGCTTTCATCGGTGATCAACCGGGATCACCCGACTGCCTTTTACCATCCTTCACCTACGCTAAAATAATCTTATACTACCGCTAATCCTGCCTTTCTACACGAAGTATGTGATGTGCCCTAAGGTGGACATTCACAGTGAGATGATTATTACGTAGGCGTAATTTTAATAGCAACGACTGCGGATACACACTCATGCTCGCGGTACTCACGCGTAATATCATTCACCGATTCCCACTTACAAGTACCAACCCCTTTAGCATGCGCGATGAAACTGAAATAGTAAATAGACATAAGTGAATGTATGTTTGTAAAGAAAAATAAATATCTTATTCTCAGGTTATGAAGTTAACATGAGAGAAGCCAGTTTACAGGCCTCATCAAATTGATAATTGCAGAGAAACATAAAAGGTTTTAGCAGTGTTGAATGATATAGAGGCAGGACATTGAACTCTATCATGATACCAAGTGTCTAAATGTTGTGAAAGTAGCAGGAAAATATCACTTTACAGTACATATACATCGTTCTGAGTTTAAGTCATTTCTGCTCACAATTCTCTCTTCACATCAAACGGCGCAATATTTGGTGTTTGTGTTGTGAGTAGTCGACATGATTGACCCACCCACAAGACCAGGTGTTTTGTCAAATAAACATCTATTTTAACAACAATTCTTATGTTCGTGGATTTATTGACCAACGGTTACTTATTTTAACGATTTCAGGAATGAGTAAGTATCCATACAATCATTCAATCCAGGTGAATGTCTAAGTTCAGGCACTTCTCACTCTTCAAGTGTTACCTCTTCCGGCAATTCAGATTGACAGTACTGAAAACATTTGTTGTGGTGCAAGTAATTAAAGAGTGGAAGAATCGTCGTTCAACAGTGGTGGATATTACACATGTGTAAAACTTCATAGACTTCACATTAAGGTATGCAACATTGTCAAGCAGATACATTGGCTGTTAATTGACTTCTGTTGGGTAGATTGATATAAGACGAAGTACTAGACAAATCTGTTACATAGCATTATTATGGATGTGTTGCCGTTAGGTAAAGTGGGCTGTTGAGTTTGATTGTTCATCCAGATCTCCGCTGCATTTGCCACGGACCAGAAATCTGAGACCAGTTATTGTGCTTGGGGTTTCCTGGGGTGGTAGCATTTGGGGTACTGGTAGGGAGATGAGTCGGTCGTGAAGCTGTTCAAGAAACAGGATAAATCGGGGCCGGCCAGTTGGATACCTCTAACATCAGTTTCCAGTATCAGGTGCGAAGTAGGATTTCCAGTAAGTTGATACGTTTTGATCGAACTAATACCTTGGACTTTCTCGTCAGGCTGATGCTGGAAAGAAAAGAGAAAAGAAAGCGCAAGGAGAAACTGGACAATGGAATACCACGTGAAACAAACCGGGAGGAAAGAGGTTCTTGTCTTTTTAAAGTCATTCTAGCTGTATGTAAACTTTAATTCATTCATATGAGGATGAATCTTCATTTTTGTTTTTCTTATATGAAGTTCACACGAGATATTAGATAGGCAGTTTTTGTTGGCAAACTTAAAAGCAACACTGGTTATGTACTTGTACTGCACAATCCGACCAGATGGACTAGCAATCAAACACGCTTTATGAGTCCAACGAGGTAAAAAGTACTTCAGATTTATGATAGCTTTACTCTACACGTTTAGAGGTCCTAGTATGCCTTCATTAGCCCGGAACGTATAGATAGTGCCTAGGCGAGTGATAGACTGATCATCATCTGTTAAGAGCTTATTAAGTGCAGAACGAAAGGTAGATAATGTGCCTGCGGTACGTATTTCCTCGGGAAGTCCATTCCAGATGTGAGAGAGCGCATTGATGGAGAAGCTTCTTCGCAGTTTGGTCCTACAACACTCATTTTCAGCTAATAGGCTGTGATTACGCAAATAGCAAGAAGATGTCACAACTATTTTAATTTCCGAGCCACATCAGTACACTCGCTTACGA